TGCTTTTCCCTAGTAGGCACAAAGAGTGGTTCAGGAAGTAGTATACATGATATATTTCCTTTCACCCATGAGCGTGAATATTATTTACCAAGTTGTTCCTCTGTCTACAGTATGAACTTCTGGCCTGATTTCATCTACTCTCTGTGTGCATTCTGATGTACTTAGAGAGCTCTTGTTACCCACAAGGAAGCTCTGTGCGCACATGGCAACACCCGTGGGTCTCTGAGCAGAGAGGCTATTGCTGCACAGCTGCTACCTGTTGCTTGGAGACTGCCTGCCTTCAAAATGGGCTCTTGTGTGTGTTACCCATTCGCTGCCTGAATTCTGGCAGCTCTTCCATCTGCTCCCTTGAACACGGAGAGATTTGTGGAAGGGGAAGCAAAATTCTACCTATTACTAGTAATTTAAGTCTTCTGGCCACTTCACTCCATGGTGCCCTCCCTGTCTCATTTGCTCTGGAGAAGACCAGTGACACACTCCCTGATGTAACTGGGAGCAGCTTCAGTGGATGCTCCCCCCCGCCTTTCCAGGTATCGGCAACAATGAATTAAATAGATTGCTGGCATTTATTTCATGTTAAAGCTGTACCTTTGCCCCAATACCATGACAGGGTTTTGCAGTGCAAACTACATGTTTTGTGCTGAGTTTTTCACCTGTCTGAGCACTCTGCCCTCGTGGTTACAGATTCCTCTTACAAACATTAACCAAGAGCGAGCAGCAGAAGTCATCTTTGTATATTAGTGGGTTGTTGTTGTTTTTAAATAAAAACGACCTCCCTTTGTCCTTGCGTTGTGTTCTTAGAGGACCAAAACAGAAGGCATCCATTTTCCTTTAGTTGTGTCAAACCTATGCAAATTGAACTAAAAAGAAAGTGCCATCCCATATGAACAACATGGAGCAAACAGAGGCCATGTTACAGCTTTAACAGGTAATAAGAGCTAGAGATATATTGAATTAGTTGTTGCTAGTATGTGGGGGAGAAAGAAGCGAAACCAGCCACTGTTTGCACAGAAGTTGCATCATTCTATATGGGGACTATCCATGACCTGCCTGTGGTCAACAGCAGTATGATCTTTAGCTCCTAAGGTGTTTTACCTGTTTATACTTCATTACTACTACTACTACTGTTGTTGCTGCTACTACTACTACTACTAATAATAATAATTTCATATGGATATATGGTTCCCAAGGTGAAGGAGGTTGAAACATGCTAAGAGGTGGCAAAGTTTAGAAGGTTATTTGCAAGAAAAAATGGTAGGGCTGTGTTTTTGTGTGTGTGTTGGCAACATGCAAACCATTACATTTCAATCCCCTCTCCTACTTAAGAAATACTGTCTAAGTTTAAGGTTAATAATCAAATTATATAAGCAAATGTCAAGATTAAAAAAGACCCTGCATACTGAGACTAAAAATAAAAGGGGGGAAACCAGGGTGCCAGAGAGCTCTTTCATTGTTATAGATCCGGTGTGCCTATTTTTAGACGTTCAAAGGTTCGTGGCTGCAGGAAGATATCAAAATATTTTGATATTTCTTTTTAAAAATGGGATTAGGATGTGTTCATTCGTTTTCTATGTCAGCCTTCATATCTTGACGTGTGCTTCATACAAGGGAGTAGGCAGCTGTGCCTGTCAACAGGGGGCTACACACTGGGGTGCCATTTCAGGTTCCAGGGAGAGAAGAGATTTGATTCTCATCAAGGTTCAAAGGCATTCTTTTGGATGCTTTCTAACCCTTCATGGCCACCTGAAGCCTTTCCCCCACCTGAGATCCTGCGTTACTCAGCCATTTAAAGCCTGTAGGCCCCTTGTCAGGGAACTGCCATCGGAGCTAGAGGCGGAGGGAAGGCTCCAGAGGGATGGCGGAGAGGGTCCCAGTAGGGAGAGAGGCAGTCCGTCCGCTGGGGAAGGAAATCAGCGTAACACCAGTAGAGAAGGGGGCAGATGGGGGAATCGGAGAGGAGGCTCCAAGACTCCTCGCCGGAGACCAGCGGAGAGAGTACGGGTCCTCCGCTGCCCACACCCTCCCTGTGCAGAAGGCTTCCGCGCAGGGAGTCTAGGCGGAGACTAGGCGTCAAGGAACTTTTGTGCTGGAAGAAGTTTAAGAAACACCCACTGACGGATTCTGCCAGCGACTGAGACAGTCACGATGCTGGAGGCTGTTCAGTCAGAAAGGGTTTAACCAGGTAACCTCACCAGGAGTGGCGGCAACTTACGCACGAGCAACCCCTAAATCCATTACACCCTTCATTTGCCAGCCTGCCTTCTCCTTAGAATGAAGGTGGCCAAAAAAAAAAAAAAAGGAGGAAGGGGCTGTGTCATTACTGAAGGCCCAAATTACAAGACTTTAAATTAATACTAGATACATGCCATCTAGAGGGGCAAACTGCCTATCCCTCTGTATTTCAGACTACAAGTAATTCCTAAAAGCACATGAAATACAATGCTTTAAAAATGTTTCTTCTTATTATTATTTTGTGAGTCACCCTCCACACATATGTCCCATTGCAATTTGCCGACATGTCCTTAAAAACAGCTAAAATAATTTTTAAACAGCACAAGAGCTACAGAGGTATAGGTTTAAAAACAACATGGAATGAACCTCCAAGCAGAGACCTGGGAAAAAGCTTGTTGAAAACATCCAAAAGTGGGCCTTTGAACCTTGCTGTGCATTGAATTGTGCCCTCCTAAATCCACCTCCCCAAATCTGAAATGTCACAACCCCCTATCTACCTTGGAGTGTAGTTTAGTCTCTTAATCTGCCATGCCAGGGAGTAGGCTCCTATGCAGCACTGGAGAGGCAGACAGGAATATAGGCCAGACTTACCTGTTGCTAGGCTCCCATATCTTCCTCCTCCTGATTAGGGCTGCCACAAACGTCTGCATTTGCCAGTGTTGGCTAATTAGAGCCACTGTGGGTTAAAACCTCAGCGCCTAGGACTTACCGTTCGAAAGGTCGGCGGTTTGAATCCCCGTGGTGGGGTGCGCTCCCGTTGCTCGGTCCCAGCGCCTGCCAACCTAGCAGTTCGAAAGCACCCCCGGGTGCAAGTAGATAAATAGGAACCGCTTAATAGTGGGAAGGTAAACGGCGTTCCGTGTGCAGATGCAGCTTGTCACGTTGGCCACGTGACCTGGAAGTGTCTGCGGACAGCGCTGGCTCCCGGCCTATAGAGTGAGATGAGCGCACAACCCTAGAGTCTGGCAAGACTGGCCCGTATGGGCAGGGGTACCTTTACCTTTTTTTAGATGGTTTGGACTACAACTCTCTCCACATGCTGGCTGGGGCTGACAGGAATTGTAGTCCAAAATGTTTGGAAGGTACAGGTTTGTGAAGACTCTTCTAGGCACTACCCTGCCTCCCTCCTCTAAATTAATTCTAAAAATGAATTGGGTAAATGCAAACTGATTGTTCCTGACTACAGAATGTAGCCTGGTCTTGTAATGGTCATGCTGGTGGATATCCAGAACAAACCTGTTGTTTAGAGTCTCTGTCTCTTAGCTTTGTCCCCTTGCACTATTTAATAACAACAATCCACCCTTCATCTGAGGTCCCAGGGTGGATTACAGTGGTACCTCGGGTTACAGACGCTTCAGGTTACAGACGATTCAGGTTACAGACTCCGCTATCCCAGAAATAGTACCTCGGGTTAAGAACTTTGCTTCAGGATGCGAACAGAAATCGCGGCGTAGCAGCAGCAGGACGCCCCATTAGCTAAAGTGAAACCTCAGGTTAAGAACAGTTTCAGGTTAAGAACAGACCTCCAGAACGAATTAAGTTCTTAACCCGAGGTACCACTGTACAATAATTTAAACTGCAGCATTAAAAAAAATCGCTTAAAAGAGCTTAATTATTGGAAAAATAGGAAGGGTCCTCAAAATATACACCTCAAGGCTACAGTAAAGATTAGGTACACCAGTTTGCTTTCTGCAGTCCTTTATTTCCCAAAATTGCCAGGGTTTTCAGTATTTTCTAATGTGGTTAATTGTTTTTCTCGTCTCTTGAAACACCAGCAGAGCCCTGATTTCTTTAAAAGACAAGATTTAAGGAACGCAGTCACCTTAAATATTTTATTTGTTGTAGTGCCCAAAAGGAAACCTTTTGATGATAGTTGGGTAGACCGACTGGTGATTTGGAACTGAAAAATGTCTGAGCAGAGAGCCATTCGTTTTATGAGACTTGTTCTGCTCTGTTGTTTAACAGGACTGCAAACAAAATATTTTAGAAACCCCCACGTGTGCAAGAGAAGGCATGCAGCCAATGAAGATACTGGTTGCTAGGCAGTCTGAGAAACAGATTCATATGGTTAGTTGTTTTGAGGAGATTTGGTAAGGCTTATACAAAGAACAAACAGCAGCAGGACTAGGATTTTTGAGAGTATTGTTTCATTTTCCATTCATGGTTCCAATGAGGGTAAAAAGTCCTATGGACAGGGTTCAACTTAATTGCATGTGTGGAATGGGGTCTACTCACACAGTGGGACTTTCCTCCCTCCCCCCCCCACCCTAAATCTGCTCTGAAGGGTTGGGAGAGGGAAACCCAGAACAGGGTTAGGGGGCACACGGCGGGAGGTGGAGGGGGAAAGTTTCATGGCATGAGTAGACCCAGTTCCCCATGCACATTCCCCACTTGACAATTGGTTGAATTCCACGCTCTATAGACAGCATGCCCAGGATGAGGGGAACCTGAACACATTATAGTTCATAGATTGTGGGTGGGGAAGCTGTGGCCCTCCAGATGTTTTTGGACTCACAACTTCTGCCCATCCCAATCAGCATGGCCAGTGGTCTAGGATGATGGAAGTTATAGTCTCAACACCATTGAGAAGACCACAGGCTCACCTCTGCATTAGGAAGAACTTCCTGAACATATGAGCTGTTTGAAAGTAGGCAGACTGCCTTGGATGGTGGTGGATTCTTCTAGCCTCCGCTTAAAAACCTGTTACAGGTAGGTAGCCGTGTTGGTCTGCCGTAGTCGAAACAAAATAAAAAATTCCTTCCAGTAGCACCTTAGAGACCAACTAAGTTTGTTCTTGGTATGAGCTTTCGTGTGCATGCACACTTCTTCAGATAACATGCACACGAAAGCTCATACCAAGAACAAACTTAGTTGGTCTCTAAGGTGCTACTGGAAGGAATTTTTGTTATTAAAAACCTGTGTCAGGGGTGCAATAGCAGTGGATTTCCTGCATCCACATGGTGTTGGATTAGATGAACTCTGAGGCTGTTGGGTGAAGCTTCCACGTAATGGCATTTTATATCTCTTCCATTGAGAAGTGCAGTCTTGGTGGAGTTCTAATGAATAATTTGAATCACATGTACATGCAATTCTCTTGATACTCACTCTTAAAACTTGAAGACTCATTTCTGAGTAGATGAACAGACTCCTTTGACGAGTATCATGTTTGACGTGATTTTACATAAATATGGAAGTTCTGCTCTTAGTGTTTGAGCTGTGGTGGCCAATTTACACATTATGTTGCACTCACCATATGATGACAACTGCTTCTGTCAATTGGCCTAAAGCCGATACCTTATCTTCTCCCCCTCTCCCATATATTGGAGGGCCTGAAAACATTCATGCTTCATGAACCCTTCCTGCCTGTGTCCAGGGCTTCATTGATCCAATGCACTGCACAAATGTTTATGCGATTGTGTGTGCATTTGCCTGCAAAACCCCCAAATTGTTTCTTGTTATTGCAATCCTAACAAAAATTATGGGAAATGTGAAGGTACTGTCTGTTGAGAAGAGAAGTTTGACAGCTTTAATACTCTGCATAGAACCCTGGATCTGACTTTCTGTGCCCTTTCTCTCCTCTGTCATTGCCAAACTATGCACAATTACGAGCACATAGTTAGCCTGTTCATTTGGTTTATAAAGGTGTACGGCAGGGGTGCAAGATTCAGATGAGTTGGTGGGCCACCCACCTAGCAGATGCCCAGGGAGAACTTTTAAAATGACATCTCACATCTAATCACGCTGTGCTGTCCTCCTGCTCTTGCCTTCACCTGCATCACAGTTCTCCTTCCCCAGCCCAAAATTCTTTCTTTAACTGCAAGTACAAGCAAACTGCTAACTTTACACCTTTGTGCTCCAGTGCATTCATCTTCACACTCCTTGACACCTGTGCTGCTATTTAAAGGGAATTGTGGAAGAGGCTAATGCTGAGTCAGTCACTTTGGCCCTTCTAAGGTCATTTGCTCCACTGCTTCCTTGCCCTGAAGGTGATTCAGTAATTTGTGCGGTCAGTGAAGGCGTGCGATGGACCATACTGGAGATAAGACTCCCAGGCCATTTGATTGATTGGCAGCTCTGAACTAGGAAGACACTGCTGGATCTTTAGGTAAGGTGTTCTTTACTTTTGTCAGAATGTTTCAACACCATACAGGGTTAGAGGGCTGTAACTCAGCATCCCTAGTGATCTTTTGGACTGGTGTCTCCCATTTCCAGGCACTGTGCTCCTTTTGAAGCAGCTACTTGAAAGATGCACTCCTAGCATCAACCAGCTGATTGGTTCTGACAGCACAAGTTCAAAGAGGCTCTCACTCTGCACCAGGCAGCTGATGTCACGTGATCTCAAAATGATGCCTCACCTGCTGGGGGAAGTGGGAAGACAAAATGCAGGCCAGTGTCTGCTGTTCAACATTGCAAAAAAAAAAAGAAAAAAAAAAAGCATTTATACAATGCTCTAGAGAGAGAGAGATGTGACCCAGAGTCTCAATGTATCTGCTTGACCATAGTGGAAGTGGGGCAAACTCAGCATCTACTGAGACCTGGATAGATCTTTTGTAGGTTTTGGCAAAACACTCCCATCTCACCTTTGTAAATCCTGGGCACAGCACTGAAGCTGCCTTGACCTGGCACATTTATCACAGAAGAATTAGGCTTCCAATTAAGAATGTTCCATGCAAGTCATTGCATATTGCTGGTCACGATCTTTTTGCAGTGTATGTTGCTTCTTGGGCTTGTCTTTTCCCCTGTTCATTTCCAGATTGTGTTTCTTTACTTGAAGGGGGCAGTGGGGGTGGAGGCTGTGCACTTTTTCTTTCCCTGATTTATATATCATAGACTGGTCTGGCACAGGCAGTGGATTAGTAACTAACTTTTCATATTGATAGCTGCAATCCAGACTCTGCTTCTTGGTGCTTGAGGTGCAGCACTCTTCCATCTGAACATTTGGTTCCTTTCCCCTTCAATAAGTGTCTGCATGAGGGGTGGCAGTAGAGAGGCTTGACTTGGATTTAGATCTGTTTCCTATTGGTGTCTGCCTCTCTGTGTATATTTGTTGCTGCATTTCATGATCCGTGGTGGTGGTAGGTAAGTAAATATAAATTCCCTAGGTGGCAGTTGCGTTCTGTGGGAAGATGTGGGAAGACTACTTTCCTCCATTTGGCATGATTTTGTATGAAATGTCTGCCCAAGAACGGCACAGCAAGGGGTTGCATTCAGCCTCTGATGCCAAGAGAAGCTAATTCCTCAGTTGGCTGAGAGAGTGAATTTTACTTCAAAGTAAGCTGTCCATCAGATCATGCTGGACATCCTGTTCTGGAGTCTCTTGATAGAACAGCCAAGGGTGGTGTGTATTAGAACACTCCAGCAGAGAGATGGGATCTGTGGCTGGGGTTCTGCAGCTTCATTGTAGATCTGTAAGTTACCAACATGGCGGTTAGGGCCAGAATGCAGAGGGGAGACCTTGGACAATGAGTTGCTATGTTGCTTTTGTTGGTTTCTTTTTCTTTTGAGCCTCGCTATTAGGACACAGAGCATTTCCAAATGCATTGTGTAACAAAGTGGACTGTGCTTCTTTTGATAAAGTACTTCCTTTCTGTAATAAAGTGGGGGCAAAAGTTAATTGCTGCCTTTTCAGCATGGCAATAAGGTTCCTGGTGCATTCGCCCTGATATGTGGACTCTGGAGTGTTTGAAGAAAGAGAAATTCAATTTTGGTACACGTAAAACTGAGAGGTAGGAAAAGGGTGAGAAAGAGAGTGCAGGCAAGAATGTGAGTGTGTGATTGAAGCTGTGGATTCTTGAGTTACTGAACTGTATTTCCTTTTGGACAGCCATTAGGGAACAGCTAAGGGCATGAAGGGATCCTGCTAGGATATTGTTGCGGCAGCTGTATGCAGGTATGGTGGTGTCTCCCTGGCTCAAGAGAAGGCACTGAAACAAGGCCAAATCTCTACTGTGCCCCAGAAGATATCTGCAGTTGCGTTTACTGAACAGAATGACCACCTGTGTGTTCTTTAGTGGTTAAAGCGTAATTCACCTGAATGGCTGTTGGAATTAATGGAAAGGAGTTTGAACTTCTTATTGTTGTTGTTGTTTAGTCGTGTCCGACTCTTCGTGACCCCATGGACCAGAGCACGCCAGGCACTCCTGTCTTCCACTGCCTCCCGCAGTTTGGTCAAACTCATGTTGGTAGCTTTGAGAACACTGTCCAACCATCTTGTCCTCTGTCGTCCCCTTCTTCTTGTGCCCTCCATCTTTCCCAACATCAGGGTCTTTTCCAGGGAGTCTTCTCTTCTCATGAGGTGGCCAAAGTATTGGAGCCTCAGCTTCAGGATCTGTCCTTCCAGTGAGCACTCAGGGCTGATTTCCTTCAGAATGGAGAGGTTTGATCTTCTTGCAGTCCATGGGACTCTCAAGAGTCTCCTTCAGCACCATAATTCAAAAGCATCAATTCTTCGGCGATCAGCCTTCTTTATGGTCCAGCTCTCACTTCCATACATCACTACTGGGAAAACCAAAGCTTTAACTATATGGACCTTTGTCAGCAAGGTGATGTCTCTGCTTTTTAAGATGCTGTCTAGGTTTGTCAATACTTTTCTCCCAAGAAGCAGGCGTCTTTTAATTTCGTGACTGCTGTCACGATCTGCAGTGATCATGGAACTTGTAGGCTTTATATTTACAAGAGATTTTTACCGCTGCAATGTTGGAGTGGCACAAAATGCAAAGGCATCCATTTGTTGTGATGCAAGAATGTATTTGCTGTGGGGGGGGGATTTTGTACTGCTGGAGCTTCAACAATGATTGGAAAATTTAGTGGGGTCATGGCCCATAAATAGAACGCTTCTAGGTAAATATAGCTCTGATCATGGATGGAGAGGCCTTTGCTGGGATATTACCAGCCTCTCAGAAATGAAGGGTTTGTGCTTAAAACTCAGGTAGGGAGCTTACTGGCTCAGAGAGGACTATTGTGTCTCAGCTGCGTGCTTATCCACACTTAACCTTTCCTCCATGCTTTCCAGGCATGGTCTGTGCTTTAAAACTCTGTGTCTGAGTGCTCTTTCTTTCTTTCTTCCTTTTGCTCCAGAGGTTTCCCCGTGGAACCCTACTCCTTACTGCTGAATCAGAGCAAAAAGCAATCCATGGAAAATTCAAATTGCGGTTTGTTGTGTTTCAGCTTTAAAGAGTGAGTTTTCATGGGAAAAGCTCTGGAACGGAAATGAGAGAGAGAGAGAGAGAGAGAGAGAGAGAGATCAGATACGGAGCTTTAAAGCATGGAGCTGTGCCTGGAAAGTGTGGGGCTAAAGCAGGGGTCAGCAACCTAAGGCCCATGGACCAGAAGCAGCCTGTGGAGGTTGTTTGACCCGCCCCCAAGCCACCCGCTTGCCCACTGCACTAAACTGGCACTGAGCAGTGCGGGGACTCGTTTCTGCGGCGCCAAAAATCATGTGTGCGCAGACTCTGAAAATTGCGGGTGCGCATGATCCAGCCCACAGAGGGATCTCTGCGGGACTGATCCGGCCCAGGCAAGATAAACCTTGCTGACCCCTGGACTAAAGGTAAGTGTGGACAAGCCCACTGTTGCAGGGAGCAGTTCAGCAGGTGGGACTTGTTCTGTCACAGAGCTGCAGTGATAGGCTAAGCAACTGAATGTTTACTGAATGTATACACGCTGGTGCATTTTCAAGAACACAATCCTAAAATCAGTTAATAGGATTTGAAAATTGGTAGGGTTGGAAACTGACTTTTTTTTGGGTGGGGAGGGGACAATTCTGTTGAAGTTAATTTGCATCAGTTGTTGGTTTTTTTTAAATGCTTGAGTCTTACCTATCCCTAGAAATAGGGAAGTGAATCTTGGAATAATCTACAAGTCCTCTGATACAATTTCCCATATG